GATCAAAGTTCATATAAGAGAGCATTCGATCCTCTAAAAACAATTTTGCTTAAAAAATACTCAGTCAAAAAACGCACAAGAGCTTAGTAGGTCAAATAATATAGACACGAAGCAAAGGGAGCATGGAGAGTTCTATCAAATCCTGTATAAACAAATAGTTTGTAGTGTAGTTCGCGTAAGAATATATTCAATCACTACTGATACAAGAGTACGTTCGATTCTGTAAGAGAATTTTTGCTTAAGAAATGCCTATTCAAGCAACGCGCAAGTCCAAGTAGTCAACCAGATATCACATTCACGAATCACTGGCACGTAGAATAGTCTACCAAAATTTATATAAAAGAACATTCGATCAAAATTCATGCCAGGCAACGTTTGATCCTATAAGAGAGTTTTTGCTTAAGAAATACCAAAATCAAGAAAAGCCCAAGAGCGTAGTAGAACAGATATGATATACATGAACCAAAGCCGCAAAGAATGATTAATCAAAATTCATATAAGAGAATTTTTGCTCAAAGAGTACTTCTTCAAAGAACATATAAGAACCCATCTCATCAAATGAGTTTTATACGATGCATATCCGTGCGGTAGTATATAAAAGAACTCGTTCTACCAAAGATCGTATAAGAGATATTTGGTCAAAAGCCGTATAAGAGCGTATTCAATCAATCAGACTTATTCGATATAAAAGTTGCTAATTAGTCAGTGCGGACTTGTTTATGAACAAGTCGATCACAGGCCATAGAGGCGAAAAACAATTATTCCAAACGTAGATCCATGCAAAAGTTATGTAATTACAAACTTGTCAAGTGCATAATTTTTCGCTAGACAAGATCTTCCTTCGTCTTTACGAGTTCCTAAAACAACACTAAAGTATCGCTATTGTCGAAGAACAAAAAAATAGCAAAGAAAGAAAACCAGTTGGACCTTGTTATTAGTTATCTTTACACCGAAATGGTTACACACAACCGTGAAATTTTGTGAGCAGTTCTTAGTCACCTATCATAATTACATAACATTTCAACGCGCATTTGCGTAAACAAAAAAAATGTGCTTTAAAGCGAGGTCCCTTGTCAAACATTTGAAAACCTTACCAAGTCGTTTAGAAACTTATGCTCGTTTTATAAATGATTTAAACTGAATTATTGGACATATGTTTGCATATTGAATGAACATACCCACGTCATCATCACTATTTTGCTTTTTACCTATTCCCCGTTGTTCCATTACTTCGTGTGCACCTTCAAAAAAAGTATTTCATTTAAGCGAATAAATTATAAACAAAACATTGACTTTGCACATGTAAAAAATGAATTTATTGTTTTCCCGCAAATTCAAAATTATTTTATTTCACTTGCTAGCGATTGAGTAATAATAATAATAACAAGAAGAAAAAAAGAAAACAATTCGGAAACAATTTGTATGAGGCTCAAAACGAATTTTTTTACACCGAACACTAAACACTTACCCCAAAACCATGCTTTGTCATCGGTGGCAACAACATGAAGTATTATGCAAGCATTGGATTCGTTCGACTTTGTGTCGTACATTGTACAGGCATCTCTCAGACAATACGGTTAATTTGAAACTTTTTTATTGGTTTATATGCACTAGGATGTTTTAAGCTTAGGCATAATACAAATCGAGATAATGTGTGCCATGTTGTATCGAACCTCATGGAAGTCTCAATGCGGGAAATTTTATGATAACTTAAATTTCATTCGAATTAAAATCAAATTTCGATTTAATTCTCCATCCATCCGTCTTGTTTTCTTTTCTTTAACGTATAGGCCGCAAATTTTTGAGATATTCTGATGAAATATGGCCCGTCGACTTGTTTTGACCTAAGAACAAATGCTGTTGAACATGATTCGAATAGGACCACTTTTTCGAACAACTCCCATATAACGCCTTATTTTGGTATAGGGTATTTAATACTGGGTCATAGGTCAGTTGAGTGTTCCTGGTTGTTTTTAGTTTCAAGTTGAAAACTCGGCAGTAAAAACTTCTGATCAAAACTTTAATCTTGAAGTTTTTCAATCATTTTGAGCGTTTTCGGAATCGAAGCTCATCTATTTGCGAACTTGATGTGAAATATCGTATTAACAATCTAATCTGCGTCCGCAAAATGATCGAACATCTTGCAAGTATACAGACGACGGAAAGAACGGATAGAACTGCACCGATTCAAATACCCCAACTGACCTAAAATGTAGTTATGGAATATGCCTCGGCAAGTGCGTTATCATCTTAAGTTTCTTGCGATTTTTGAACTGTCAACATGCAACTGTCATTATGACGACGTTCGACCGTAAACCGATTTGAATAGAAACGAAGAGATCTTTTAACCATAAATCGCTACAACGCATCGAAATCCCTAGAGTTTCTCGCACAATCTCAAGTCCAACAACCTTCCCAAACAGGAGGAGCGAAAGTAGTTTGGTGGCAATGTTATTAGGCAGTGGTATGTTCGAAATGCTACTGCTTCAACATGTTATACAGGATGGATAATGATCGATGCTAACAGACTTTTTTGGCTTCAAAATAATGCCATGAGTATGGAGGACGCTGCTACATGCCATTCGTCTTCCTTGATATAATGACTATATTACGTGATTGATTTTTTAGTAAGAGATCCTATAATTGATTTATTTTAATTCGATGGAAGCGGATTTCTAGCCTCTAAACGTTACGCTAATCAAAAATTTTTATACATTCTAGTGATTTTGATGCATTTGTTACGACAACAACATTCTCTCATTATAACAAACATTCTCTGTCGATGAGTACAAATGAAAGCATAAACATAAATTAGCGCGCTTCACTGGCTGACAGATGTGGCATTTTAAAAGCTAGCGCATTAAATACGAACTGTTAGCCCTAATACAAACCAGAAGCAGATAAAAAAGAAAAATACGAGAAAATTATAATCAGCTGTGACCGAATCTTTTACAACCACTACAGTTGCCTTAAAAAGAAGTTTGAAATTTCAATGCTTTACAATATTGCAAGGGCGTAGTTCATTATTTCCGCTTTTATATAGGCTCTGCAGGAGCATCCGCAGAATATAGATGAGAACTTTTAGCATTGCATCTTGTGCAACGTAAGAGCGATAAGCAAAAGACCAAAGCCTTTTCTTACCCAAAGCAGCCGGACCTTTAACCGATGTGGCAGGTTTTCAATACCAACTGGCATGTAAGAGTTCTTCCTGTTACTGCCAAACTTGAAGGCGGACATCTTAATTGCTATGGCCATGAGAATGTTGTTCGCAGACATTACGCCGACGGACATGCATGATATTGATCAAGTATATACGTGCCAAATAAGATCTCTGAACCTTGCTTCTAGCCGTTGTACACAAAAGGCCACCAACCTGCAGCAGTAGGGGAAAAAAGATTAAACCATTCGCTATGGCATGAATAAAGTAAAACAAGCAATAGTAATAAAAAAAAGAGAAATGAATTCATTTATATTTTGCATACCGAAAACGATCCAAGATGAACGTTATGTATATTTATATATATGTGTGTGTATAAACATGTACATATATATATATATATATATATATGCTATAAATACTAATACATATATCTATATATATAAGCGTTTATTAATATTTGTAAATAATTCGCAAGTTTTTTTATGGCCACCACCGAAGGGTAGGGGCATACTCATCTTGTCATAATGTTTGCAGCACTCAAAAGAAAGCTTCCGGAGTCCTATAAAATATATATTCTTGATCAGGTTGATATTTGGAATCCATTAAGCCATATCAGTGTGTCTGTGTTCTGTATGTTATTCATTCATTCTTGTGTTCGCTAAAATAAATACCACACCTTCAAATGTGGTACAAACATTAGAAGTTTCTCGTA